ATTAATCAATTCAAATCCGCCTCATTTCTATTAATGTTTAGGAGGCAAAACCGGAGGATCCACAGTTGCCGCTCTTCGCAGCCGAATTTCATTAAAAAAATTATGATAGGCATTTACATGATTTTCTTCTCTCCCATTGACATATTCCAGTATTCTTCTCACGTCCATTACGTCAATATAAATTATGCGAACTGCACTCCGATTATTAAAATTGATAGACGAGGCGATAAGTAAAGAAGACAAAAGCGAAATGGAGTGACCCGGTGACCCTATTGATTGAAGCGGGTGATTGGCATAGACTAGGGGGGAAAATGATGGACTAACAGAAGGGTCACACGTAGGTTACCGTTAATCGAAAACGCAGGAAAACGCGGAAACAAGGCTAAAATACATGATATAAAGGCAGCTAAAATACAAGATATAAAGGCAGTCCTTTTGCCTTTATATCTTGTATTTTAGCTGCCTTTATGTCTTGTATTTTAGCCTTGTTTCCGCTTTTTCCTGTGTTTTCGATTGTCGTTTCCGTTTCGGGCTGCTTTTACATTCTGTTTGTTTTACACGGTTAACGTTAATTAGTATATTCTTTACCTACTTAGTGCATTGTAACCATTCGTTTCTCCCAATAGGATCACCCATAATACCTCATTTGTTTCCTTTGTCTATAGCTTTGCTTATCAATTCAAATAATCAGCCCAAAAGGACTGTTTGTCTTACGTCATCATTTGTATACACGATCAATGGTGTAACGGTTATATACCTGGCCTGAACAGAGAGACTTGAACGCTGCACCAAGAAAAACAACCACTCGGATTTCTTAGTGTGCGCAGGCATAAAATAAAAACAAATTCAAGATTTAAATTCATCCTGCCACCACCAATGGTAGGTCATATAAAGGTAGGTTGTGGAGACTTAAACGCCCTACTAAGGAAAACAACCACTCGGATTTCTTCGTTTATGAGAGCGTGAAACAAAAACAAATTCGAGATTCAAGATCATCCTGATGCCATGAATTAGATACATGGTCAATGGTGCAATACATAGACTGAGAGACTTAAACGCTTCTCTAAGAAAAACAACCACTCTGATTCCACATGTGCATGCATAAAGAGACCGAATCCGATAGTGGTTTGATGTATCGTTTAATTCAAAACAATACATAACCTCAAACAAGAATTTTAGGATTAAAGTTGGAAAAGCTGAAAACAAGGCGATTCTTAGTAATTTCACTATTCATAGCCATTTTTTACACATATGTATCGAAAATCCATCAAAAAAAAAAAACTCGCTCCCTCAGATTACTTAATTGAATTTTGTGGCTATGTTTACATGTTGAACCAATCGATATCGATACAATCTCACATGTCGTCGTTTCCCACACGAAGGAACGTAACTGCATTTCAATGTTGCCAAATTTCCTTGCGCAGATTGCATTTTTACCAGCAGACTTTTTGGGCATTTCTGACTGAAAAATTCACTGATTTTTCTTCGGATTTTATGCGAAATGCGGATCAATTTTCGATGAAAATTGCACAGGTTTATTCTCGTTAAAAATTGAATTGTTTGAGCCAATTTTGCAACTTTGCAATGAAGTCACGTTCTTTCGTCCGGGAGATGACGATGTTTGAAGTATCGAATACAATCCATTTCTCGGGAAGATGAGTTTTCCCTCTTTTTCCCGGGAGCGGCAACAACGGAGTGGCGATGAATCTGGTCCGGTCGGCCGATTTTCCGGGAGCAGCTTCGGCGCGTCGCCTAACTGTTCGGCGCATTCCCATTGGCGACTCGCGAGCGGCCCATAACTTTTCGTGACACATTTTATTTTTTCTCGGAATCGCGACGCGGCCAGAGCGGCCAACGGGAGCAGTTTCCCGAGCGCGCGGTCCGGATTCCTGACGCCGGACGCTCCGTTTCCGCGAACCCGAGATTCAATTCCATCAGAGTCGCGCCGAATGAACCAGTCACATGATGAGAGAGAGTGGAAGAGGAGATCCATGGTCTGCCGGTGCTTCAAAACTGTGTATCGAAATCGTTTGTCAATGTCAAATTGATGTTTTTTTTTTTTTTTTTTTTTTTTTTTTTTTTTTTTTTTTTTTTTTTTTTTTTTNTTTTTTTTTTTTTTTTTTTTACAATTGGCTACTTCTAAAACTGTCGATGAAAATCAGTAGCTTGTTTGAATAATGAGGGATACTTTGGAAATTTTTGCTTTACTTCAGTTCATAAAGTCTCCTTTTATTCGTTATTTTCTCTCATTCTTACTTTCATGATGATGAATCATGGTCAAAATTATTTTTTTGTTTGTGTTTTGAAAAGAGGCTACCTCAAAAACCGTCGATGAGAATCAGTATTTTTGTTTGTATAATTAAGGAGTGGTTTGAAAATTTTAATTTTTAGTTTTATTTTTATTTTTTCGTTTACTACGTTACTTTTGAAGAAAATTTGGCTCAATTTTTATTACTCTATTTGTTTTAATTTTTGTTTTTTGCTTTAATTTTGTTCATGACGCCCCTTTTCTTCGTTATTTTCTTTCATTCTTACTTCATTTTCTTTTCTACTTTTTCTAAAAATTGTCTTCAAATTATTTTTTATTTTTTTACATCGGCAACATTCGAAAACGAAGGCGAATCAAATAGTTTTAGGTCTACCTAATTGTAGAGACTGGTTTCTGTTTCCACCGGACAGATATACGTAGTGCAAACTACGGGATACAACTATTCGAGCTTCGAAGTCGTTAGGAGGTATCATCCAGAGCTGAAGGCGAATCGACTTTTCAGCCGTTCCAGGATAGGGACTAGATTAGACTGAATAATTGTATCCCGTACTCCTTGCCATGGTTTCCCCAGAAAATGAGTAGAAAAGTAGTCTCAAACCTGGAATGGCTTGCCGACAAGATTAGCCTTCAATTTTGGATGATACCCCCCCACGACTTCGGAGCACGAATAGTTGTATCCCGTCATTCTCGCTAAACTTATCCAGAGAAGTGAATAGGAAACCAGTATGTAAGCCTGTACTGGTCTTTGTCAGCGGGCTAGCGTAAATTTTCGGCAAAGAATCAATGCTCTAATTGTTTGAGCTCCTGTTGCTGACAAAATCGACGCAATATAACACAGAACATGAAGTTACGGCCAATTTTCGCAATAAATCCTTGGTTTCTGAGCAGGATCCTGCAAAAAAGTATGCGCGTGTCGCTTGTTCAAATGTCACCGAAACATGAGCATCGCATTTACATGACTTTTGGATTTCTGAGAATGTAAAACTGATTTAAAAGTCGGAAGTCTAGAGATCTTTGAAAGCGACGAAGGGACCCTTACTCGAGAATTCACTGCGAGATTCTGCGTCTTTTCACATAATTTTGATGCATTGAATGCAAATTGAATTCTCGATCGGATCGGGAGAGATTCTCAGAATTTTTTTGTTTAGAGATTTAGATATTGTTTCCTAAGAAATCTACTTCGAATCTCCCACTCTACCGGCTCTGATGTTGTTCATTACGACCAGTTTTTTGTTCCACGTTCGTCGAGCGAGTCACTCGACCAGTTCATTCATATTTTCAAGCGGGATTTGGTAACCAAGTTACTACTACATTGATAATTTAAACCTCTTATTTCATACTTGAGTTTTTTTAAAAATACTGTTAGTGTAATGACCAGAAAGGGTAAAAAGTTGGAAGATCAGTGATATGTTTCAGTGATTAGTAGATGTATCAGAAATTGTATTTATTGATTTTATTTATCATAAATTGGTATAATAAAAATTGTTACGGTACATATCAGATGGCTTACAACAATTTAAATTATCACAAGTTAAGTAATTCCCTTAATTTTCTTTCGAAGTCCCCGACTTTCCCCTACATTTCCCGATCGTCACAAATTCCCTGAGTTTCCCTAATGATCCCGTTTTTCCAAACCGCCGCACAGTGCATCGCGTTAATTTAAAAGGTCAGACATGAAATTTTTGACCAAAACAGCAAATTTTGATGTTTATTTCGGTACATTTAAAATTTTAAGGAGTACTTCTTGAAGGAAATTTCACGAAAAAACCAATAGAGCTACTTTTAAAATCTCGAAGTTTTGATTTAGCGGATTTATAAGCTTTTAAAGTTTTCAAATTGTATCCAACCTCCCCCACCGACTCGATCCACTGTGCGCCGGCAACCCTGGATCAGACACCTAAAACATAAACGAACTCAAGCCGATCCGTGCGGGAACAGAAACACCTCGATAATTCCATATTTCCGAGTCGGAAATACGGCAGCTCCGAGCGACAAATCATAGGATCGTTTAAATCAACACGAAGCGGGATTCGCGCACCTGCTGACTTGCACCTCGCGAAACTGATTAATACGAGACGGTCGCCCACCTCAACCACTTTATTCCATTCTTTCGGCTCTTATTTTTCATTCGCATCGTCTCCCTTTTGTGTAGCCTCTCGACTCCTCTATGATGAATGTTTTCGCGTCCGAGCCGACCGGCTGAAATACGGCGCTGAAATTTTCTCACCGTGCTTACGTCACGGGCAGCCGACTTGATCGATCGATCGCGAAGCTTGGTTCTGATAGGCTGATAATTAACGCATATTTTACTCGGGACCGGTTCGATTTTCGGTGAGATATTGCGTTGAATCTGGGGCTTGACGTGAACTATTAATTTAGAGATCCGAACAATTAAAAATTCAACTCCTTCAGCCACATGAAATTTCGATGAAATTGAGCTGCACTGGAAAAAAAACACACTGGCTCTAGAGTCCAGACTCTTGAAAACATCGACGAGAAAAAGTACTCTTGATTCAATCAGAATCTGGCTTGAATCAAGAACCAAGCCTCTTAATTTAAGCGGATTTCGTTTCGATTCAAGCAAAAATCCGATTGAATTTAGAGTATTTTTTCTTGTCAATGTTTTCAAGAGTCTGGACTCTAGATCCGATGTGTTTTTTTTTCCAGTGTGATACTCTGATGAAAGAGGAAATGTGGAAAGAGAGAGAGGTTAAGAATACGAGAAACTTACCGAGAAATCTAAGATGGAAAACAGTCCCTGAAACAAAAAAGAAAACCAACAAATTATTTTTTGTAATCGAGAAGCACATTGAATCATATTTTTCACGGTGAGCTTTCTTGCTAAGTTTTTAGTTACTTTCGAAAAGTAATCACAGTAAGAATTGGATACTAAAGTAAAAATTGTATTGATCGCTGCCTATTTTCCTTTTATTTTTTGACGTTCTTCGAGAAAAACAAAGCAATATCCTCTTTTGAAATTTTGTCAAATACTTCATAATGAAGGTAGGATTCACTGATAGTTATACAGAGCGTTTTTGCTTACAGTTACTTTTGGTGAATGACATGGAGGGAAATTGGACGTATTTCTACAAAACGGGAACTTTGTGCATTGTGACGTGAACCCTGTTATGCATACATTCTTATGGGTCTCAGGGCTCACATCTCAATGCATATAGTTCGAAATGTCAGAGGGCGGTTCCGGTGTGTCAGCAACGGGCTGACAACAAGTCCCGAACGGTCCATACAGGGTGAGCGAAAAGTCCCCGACCCCCCCTCTAACTTTTGAACGAATTGAGCTAAGGAAATGAAACTTTGGGAATGTTCCTATCTCAAAGGGGACCATCTTTTGAGGGGGTCAAAATTTTGGTCCCCCCCTCAGGAGGGGACAGGGGCCCCCAATTTTTTTTTTTTCAAATAGCAACCCCTATCTTGTGATACCTCATTCGAAAGAGCATAAAAAACTAAGAATTTTGGCGCAAACCGCAGATCAATATCTCAATTTTTGACCGAGTGATGATAGGTCAAAGGTCAAATTTGACCCATTTTCAAAAAATCATAACTCCGGTTCAAATTATCGTAAAGAAAAAAATAAAACGGGAAAATTTACCAAATTGTGTTCGCTTTTACGTAAAAATTGCAGAAATCACTTCGATTTAATTTTAAGGGGGGCTCGGTCCCCCAAATACGTCAATTCAAAGGTCATTCAATTTTCCTGCGAAATAAGCCAATTTCCTCTGGATTTGCCTCCACATTATCTCAGTAAGGTCAAACTCAGTTCAACATTACGTTGGCAAGTCCCCAAATTTCGGGAAAAGTTAAAAAAACGAAATTTAAGGTGATTAAATTTGACCGTTTAAATTTCGTTTTTTTAACTTTTCCCGAAATTTGGGGACTTGCCAACGTAATGTTGAACTGAGTTTGACCTTACTGAGATAATGTGGAGGCAAATCCAGAGGAAATTGGCTTATTTCGCAGGAAAATTGAATGACCTTTGAATTGACGTATTTGGGGGACCGAGCCCCCCTTAAAATTAAATCGAAGTGATTTCTGCAATTTTTACGTAAAAGCGAACACAATTTGGTAAATTTTCCCGTTTTATTTTTTTCTTTACGATAATTTGAACCGGAGTTATGATTTTTTGAAAATGGGTCAAATTTGACCTTTGACCTATCATCACTCGGTCAAAAATTGAGATATTGATCTGCGGTTTGCGCCAAAATTCTTAGTTTTTTATGCTCTTTCGAATGAGGTATCACAAGATAGGGGTTGCTATTTGAAAAAAAAAAGTTGGGGGGCCCCTGTCCCCTCCTGAGGGGGGGACCAAAATTTTGACCCCCTCAAAAGATGGTCCCCTTTGAGATAGGAACATTCCCAAAGTTTCATTTCCTTAGCTCAATTCGTTCAAAAGTTAGAGGGGGGGTCGGGGACTTTTCGCTCACCCTGTATAATGAATTAAGTACCCTTTTCAATTATTTTATATATATTATATATTTATATATTTATAGTTATATATCCGAATGTATGAAATAGACTTAATAATTTAAAAAAAAAAAAAATGCATATAGTTCCGTTTGGCAGAAATACGTCCAATTAGGAAGTGTCAATTCCTATTATCTAATTCTATAGTTAAAGCCACTTTGGTGCGACACTGTTTTCTACGAGTATGAACTCTAACCAAACTTTCAGTGACAAACATCATAGTTGCAAAGCTCTTCCACTATCAAAATATCGCAACATTCATACCAGTTTACACTAGAGTTCTTTCTCGATCAACGCATCAGCACAGTCGTCAGATCGGCCGAAAATCACTACAATTCGTATACGGTGAAGCGCAAAATGAGTATTTTTACGCAGATTTGACAACAGCTAAGTTCGAGCTTTCTTTTACGAGCGCATATCGTCACCCCTCCGACGGAACGACCCAACTCCCTCTTTACGTAAGCCCTGAAAAGTATCGGATCTCATGGACTTCAGGGCTCATCTCAAATAAGCACTTGTGTCGTTTCGTCAGTGGAGCGACGATATCGTTGGTGACACACCTCGAGAGCAGATGACATTACTAATCCTTTATCGCAACACTCTCCTCGATATCAACTAGTTCAGCGTTTTACACTCCGAGGTGTAGCCTGTAGCACGTTTGGTTCCAAGACCGTTATTCCTTGTCGTTTCAACGGGGGTTGGAGGGGGGGGGTCTCGTATCGGGGGGCTTTCGGCACACCTACGACCGTGCTTTTATTGCCTTCCAAAATGAGCTCACTTTGGGTGACGTTAGAGTCCTCTCGAAGGTGTTTTGAGTCAAAACTTGTCCTGCGCGAATGATGATGATAGCCCTGTGATTTTTTTATGGTGTATTTATTCGAAACAACGATGAAATGCTAGTTTCGGGGACGTTGAACCAGAATTTCAATTTTTCTCTAGAAGACTATTCCTTCTCTTCTTGATACGTGGATGACCGAACCATTCAAGAAGGTCGCCACAGTCAGAGAACCGGTAGAGTTCAAGGGATAAGTGGTCTGGAGAAAACTGTGAAACGCAGGAAAAACTTTCGTGTACGGAATTGAGGAATAAGAGTCGCATTACATAGCTTTACTGAGTCGCATTGTGTCAAAATCCGAAAATTTCAAAAATTTTAAGTATCATTCCATTTCTTCTCAAGTCAGGCAATTTTCTCATGATGGTCAAAAAATCTGGCTCAGTCAAAGGATTCCAATTAGAAAGTTCTCTGACTTTTTTTCTAGACTGGCGTCCTATCAACACGGCACGAAGTTCGAACACCTAAACCTGCGTTCCCTTTCATTCGAGAATTATGAGTGTCCGGAATCAATTTCAAAACTTTTGTTATTGAGAAGATTTTTATGCATCTTTTTAAGGATATGAAAAAGTTTTAAAGCCAGATCACGGATAATTGTTCGTGTAGATTTATTTGACAATTTCATTTCGAAGCATTTCGGGGCGTTAAAAAACAACAAAAACTACAGAAAAAAATTGTCATCTTGCATGGTTAACGAAAGACTTTTTTCTATTTGCTGCGGTTTTTTTAAATTAAGTTTCACGAAGAAACTCTCACACATTCACCCTGACACACTTTATTACATTAATACTTCTTTACCTCATTCTCGACGAAAATGTTTTCAAACGCTGCGGTATAGAATTACAGAGTATGAAGTTCAAAAGAAGTATTTTTGCTACGAAGAGGCGTCAACGCAGGGAGATGATTGAAATTACGTGACAAACAGTTGACCTGGCTATTCAAAGAGAGATGATTCGTTGACTCAGGCGCTGCGCTCGTTTGAAGCGTGCTAATTGGTGGTAATTACTAAAAACAGCTCAACGTTCACCAGTCCGCTTCCTCGGACCGTGAGCTATTTACCGGATTCTCCCCGTACAGAACACTAACGCTATACGAAAGAACACCGTATGAACCTTCAGGCGTTGCCAAATTCCCTTTGATAAAATACGAAATGATTGGGAAAGTTGTGTATATTATTCTTCTGATTTTTAGACAATGTTTTTGCAATTTAATCTAAAATATCTGAACACTTCGAGGAATAATGTGCGTGACTTCCTCCCAAAATAAATCTTTTACAGAGGGAAATTTGGCAGCATTCGGCGATTCATACGGCGTTTTTCCTTAGCACGGCGGAGAATGCGTTAAATATGCGTAGCAGGGCCCGTTGCGTTGGAATGGGACGGGTGAACTTTCCGAGTCAAGCTCCTAGTGTTACGTCATTGTAGGCGGCGAGAAAATGACTCGATCCTTTCATTCCAGACGCTAACGTTTTAACACAACAACGTGACTTCTGCGCTTTCTACGATTCCCTCAAAAACGATGAGTTCTTGACATGAACTAGATGACGCAGAATACTACGTGACATTACAAAAGGAATTTCACTGGAAAATGTTTCAAAAATTGTGTCCGAGGGTAAATTGATTCAAGTTCCGCAAATTAATCAGTGAGCAACTCACACTCGATAAAAAAATTAACAACAAAGGAAAAATTTAGAGCCAGTTCGACCCTAACTCTTACCAGGTGACCAAATTTGAATCTCTTGATACACACAGCCCTATTCATATCTCGCAGAGGAGATATGAAATTTTCAAAAGTAAAAAAGATATTAATTTGACCTTGTTTCGCTTCTGACGTGCATTACTTCGACTAACGACGACGAAATAAATTTTACCCTCCTCGGTGATTCATCTGGATGTTTATCGCGTAATAACTAACCAACTAAAAACAAACCGACTTCCGTGTCAAGCGATTCCTGCATAATAAATAACTGTTGTTTATTAAATCATTGTTCTTTCCATCTGCTGAGGATACCTATCCCGTTTGCTATTGAATGTCACCTCACTGGGTTCCGTACATATATTCCTGTAATTTTCCGATGAGCCCTGCTTTACGACATGGAATATTCGATTCCTCTGCAGACTAGAGCGAGACAAGAGAATTGTTGTTTTCTCCTTACACATACCTTACTTGCTGCGTAACATTAAACAGCTCGACGAGAAAATATTTCATAAAAATATATAATTATTGAAATTTGATTAAGTTTGATTCCTCTTTCATCTATTTCTGAAGGATCTTTTTACCTTGAGTTTTTTAATGATATTCCTCTAAGTGTTACCTCCTAGTGGTCAAACAGTAAATTTTGAATGCTTTTATATTGAACCAGTTATTTTTTTGCTTCCAAATTTTTTTAATTTTTATATTCATTTTCGACTTTTCTTGGTCAAAACCCTTTCGATGTATTTTTTCAC